AAATAAATATTTATATAAGATAAACAAATACATCGAAAACGAAAACAATAGAGAAAATTAGGTAAACTAAAAAAATTAGTGAAAACAGTAAATATACTATTTACAGAATACATAGAATATAACAAAGTTTTTTTTATTGTATTACCATTGTGTCCTGTGATTATGATAAAATCATCTTCTTTAATATACGGGACAAAGATATTTATTCCGTTTGGTTCTATATATTTATAATGCTTAGTAGTAGACACATTCTTTGATATTGTTACATAGGTTACAGGTATCCACCATTTATATGCACACAGAAACTTTTGTTCAACTGCAACACAATCTTGAACTATAATTTCTAGAGATTGTTCATCAGTGTTCCGGTTTACTTGTACCAGGGGATACCCAGTTTGTGTTATCCATGTAGTTATCACATTTTTTATATCTTTATTCTTTAATCGGATGTTTTCAATTATGGTCGGCACAAACATTAAATTGCTCCATACATTCTGGAGAATAGACTGAACATTATATGTCTCACTTGATGTACTACTATAAATTACAACAGATAGCAAAAAAAAACTATATTGGTTTTAATTCTGTTAAACGTAATAAATATTTGAAGATTTGTATATCTTACGTATAAATTCATGCTTAAACCCATACTTTCTCTCTTTAATCATTGCTTTATATAAATTTATAATACTTACGTGTTATATAACTTTATCGCGTTCTCAAAAATAAAGTTGTATACTACATCTTGATTACGGAATAAGCTATTTATCATATAGAAAATATTGAATGCTAAAACATAATTCCCAATGTGTGAACGTTATTCACTTATAATGAAAAGACTTTGTAAATAATTGTTGATAAATGCATACAATGAAAACTGGATGACTCTAATTTATAATTTGATGATGTATTCGCAAACATTATAATGTATATTTTTATTCTTCGTATATCTATGAGATATATAAACGTAGGTTTTATATTGTTACGCAAATTTTTAAGCACACAATTAAAAGTTGTAAATATCGTTTTTCCTTACTTTTTTCTCTCCACATTTTACTAAAAGTTACGTTGTGAAAAAGTCGATTTTCTTGTAGTGGTAAATCATATTCAATAAATGCTTGTGTATATTCAAAAACCATTCGTCGTGTCTGAACCACAATCGACATCAGTAAAGTTTCACTGTAAATCTACCAAAAGTTTATATGATTACGCATATGTTTATTTTAGCTTCGTTGTTTCTTTTTAGGTGAACTTAATAATACAAAGTTGTAGTGCAAAATTTTGGATATCAAGTATAGAAATCCTTCTAGTATATTTAAGAAGTTTTGTGTATAATATAAACATTACAAAAGCAATGTGACAATAACATCTTTTACCAAAATGTCTGAAATCACTACATACTACATACTATTATTCTTCTCTCTCGATTTGCATTAAATATCTATGTGAAAATTATGATCATATAGGATTATATGTGAATCGGATACAATCTTGTACGATCGTGTGAACATTTATATAAGTTAAATATGATTTTACATAAGTTAAGGATATGATTTTATGTAAACGTGTAAACTGAGATCCGAAGTTTGGCGCGATCTGATTTTATATGATCATATATAAATATAAGCAATCATGCAGGGGAGACCGGGGCTAGTTGTGACACGGGGTTAGTTGTCAAACTGCTATTATCTTGCTTACTAAATCTTGGAAAATATTCTTCTTTTTATTGTAAGTTGCTACTAGTTGTGTTAGTAGTAACGTGTACGAAAGAACTTTTCTTAAAACCATTATATATGATATTTACGAGCACTTTTGTAAAACTAGATATGGCAAGTAGATTTTTCTGATCTCGATTCTTTAGTAATTTCATTGGTTTTAAAATTTCTAATTGCAATTTTATCTTATGTATAGGAAATATGGTAGTTTTAAATAAGTTTTCCTATATTTATTTAATCGTCATTGCATCGCAGTTTATAAATATAATATCTTTTATTTTAAATGAACGTTTGGGATAAGTTGACTCAAATTGAGACGGGATAAGTTGTCACACGGTGAACATGCGCGAAAAAGTAATCGCAGTGATTGTTATGCGTCGTTATAACTTTTTCAGTACCTGTCATTGTTTTTTTTTATTAAAGATTAGATTACTAGTTATGTTTTATAGTTTTTAACTGATTTAGTATTGTGAAATCATTTAAACTTGTTTTTTTATATATATATGATTATTAATATTGTATAAATACTTTATACTTAATGTATAATGTTATGTACTCTCAATAAATTTAATAAAATAAAAAACAAAAATTTTATCTTATTGTTTCTCTGTATAAAAGACATGTGACAATTAACCCTGGGTATGGGGCAGGTTGACAAATTTGCGCGATCGTACTTAACATTAAAATACTCTTTTGTGTAAAGATATATAAGAATAATATTTGTTTTTTCTTAAAGCTAAAGGATGTGACTATTATATAATGTACATAATATTACATAATATTGCGTCCATTTTTTTTTTTTTACAATCTATTTTGGATGTTACTTTGTGTTCCGGTCTCCCCTACTATCGTACATACTTTGTGTATTTATATGATCATATAAAATCAGATCCGCGCCACATTTTGGATCTGATATTACGCGATCGCACGAAATCATATTTGACTTAGAAAAAAGATTATACGATCATACAAAATTACATCTAATTTACATATAAACCTACATGTGATTACATGATATTTTATTTTCTCTCGGGGTGTAAAAGCTACAGATTTACAAATGCAAGTATTACCTGATCGACTAGATAAACTCCGTAAAATGTCAAAATTCCTTCGATAAACCAAGAATCAGACTGTTTAGGTGTAATTAACCAATTACTGAACGCTTCTTGTATCACACTGCGTGCAACCAAACATGTTACTTCTATTTTTTTTCTAAACGAATCACGTTCTTTATTGTATGCAATATCAGCGTCTCTATAAATAGTAGTGTCTTTAATGCACTTCTGTCGTTCACAGCATGTAGATATATTTGGTGTAAACTAATTTTTTGAGTAATATATCTTACCTAAAAAGGACAAGTCCAGTAGTTACTATAGTTTCGTAGCTGTAGTTTGTTGAAAGTGCTATATACTGCACGTGTGAGAGTGGTGTAACGTCCCTTTTCTTGAGTCTGATAAAAATCGTAATATGACTTATAAGACGTCGTGCGTATGAAATGTCGTTTTCCACTTGGAATCTGCTGTGCATGGTAAGTGTATCTGACATGAAGGTAAAGTTGGTACATTCAGAAGGTACGACTACTGTTGCTACGGCACGAGTGGATATTGAAGGTGTACGGAATGAAGTATATGTATAAACTTGAGATTTTTCCACTGAGTTATTACGTATATTTGAAAGAGCTGTTTCACTACTGGTATGCTTGATTCGAATAGTAAATGTGGCTTTAGTTGCGAAATTTTTCCACCATGGGAATATCCATTCAGCAGGAATACGCGGTAATATCAAATATCTATATAATGTAAAACGTTGTTCTTAGTAATTGGTTCCTTAAGAACTTTATAACTCCTATTGCAACAGTACAAAAGAAGAATTAATTTCTGCATTAGTATTTAATGCACTCTTACTTTTCTATTTTAGTTTCATCAATAAATGGATAAATTCTCATAACTTTATCTAAACTGCAATTATATTTTGCAGATATCCACAGTCCACGTTCTACATTTACTATTTGTTGTTGTATTCTAAAGAGTTCCCTATTATGGTTAATGAAGCTGATGTTCAAGGTTTTGAATTGATCGTCCGAAAAAAATGGCAAAACTTTTGTTTCCCAAAATACAGATGGATAATTAGAAAAAACATTAGTCATGATGTTAATTTTCGGTTGTTCACAGTAACGTCCGAAATCAACTTTTATGTTTTGCAGTGGACACTGAACGTTCAGTTTAACAAGAGAATCAACAATAAGAGAATTTTTTTGTACTTCCGCAGAAATATTCAGAATATATTCCATCGGTTCTATGCAGTCCAGAGAAAAATGTACATCAGCAAAAGAAGTAATTCCTTTGACACATAAGAGGCATATAGTTCCGAGAACTGTAATCATCTGTGTAGTTAGTATCTATAAAATAATTTTGTACAATTATCTTATAAAGTTATTTGAATCAAGAAATACACATGTTATTAAAATCACAACTACAACACAAAAAGTATTATATAAAAAAGAATTACTGGTTGCTGTTTTAAATACATAAATATCAAACATGATTGTATGTAATTGTGTATCTTTTTTTTTGCGTATGGTTTTTAATATCAATTTTTAGAGTTCATAAAATATTACTTAAGCATAAAGGAGTGTGTTTATCAAGAGATATTCTACAGCGTCTTTCTTTCTATCACACACACGAAATTATTTGTTATTGTTGTATGTTTTATTTGACATACATAATTAAGGCCAAGAGTATAGATTGTGTTTTCGACAAATTCTATATTCACCTAATAAAATCAATTTCGAGAGAACTGTTTAATTTTTTTGTAATGCATTTTAAATGAGATAAGGTGAATATTACAACACTGAAGAAAAAATCGTACTACATCGTCTATATCAATATATACCAATTATTATATGCTAATAACCATTACTATATACCAATTCTTATATGCTAAAGATTTAATTAAATTACTATTTTTTCTATATGCTAAAGAGTGATTTAAATTAAAATTTTTTAATTCAAAAATTTTTAATTATATTCTTAGTTTTAATTTACATTAACTATATAGATAAACTAAAGATTTCGAAGTCTCTAGTCTATCGGTGATGGTTGGTGAAAGAAAGCTTTCATTCGTTTGTTTTTGCATACTCATGTTTGTGTTGCTTGTGTGACTTTTCTTGACATGGCTGTTTACATGTAATCAGTGTCTTTTGAGATTGTAATGTACCTTACACATTTCTATAATTGTATCATATCATATTTTTTGTGATTACTTCTATCTTTATTTTGTAAAGGTGACTTTGCTTCATTTTGTTTATGTTTTAATATTTTTAATATATTTGTATGCGTATTTTTCTCATGTTTCTTTTAAACGTTTGTAGATTTAAACAAAAAAAGCTTATATATTTCTTACTTTGCACATTGTAGAATTGGGTGATGATGATTACAAAAATAAAATTGATCGAAAAGTTCAAATCGTTTATTTAGAAGCACAAATGTTTTGTTTATTTACTACCACCTGTGGACTGCAGGCTTTGAAGTTATTTTTTTCTCTTTTTCTCTCTTTTTTTCGTATTTTATCTATTACATTTATCTTTAAGCTGTTTGAACCACTTAATCATTAACAGTTTCATACGTTTTGTTGACATACTAGGGCTATGTTATTTCATTTTCTATGTTTTGTTTTGTGTTTCGTTAAATACAAAATTTATAGCTTTCTTTAAAATATAAGTAGCAATTTTAATTCTACAAAAAATAGCTTAATGACTTACCATTTTCTGTATGGTTATATTCAATGCATTGAAGTATAAATCTTGCAAAAAAAGTGCAAACTGGTAATCAAACAACAAGATCAAAAGCGTATCTCGTGATCGTATTTGTGCGTTCTCGCCTCTTCGAGAAATTCTGGATAACTAAAGAGCAGTCCTTTCTGTGAAATAATGAATACACACCACGATGGGGAAGTTCCACGTTTCGTTCGCAACGCTCGCGAGCGTTATCTTTGTTTATTTTTCGATGAGAAATATTGGTACTCCCGTGTAGATTTAAAAGATTTGTTGGTAAGAAAATGCGACGGAATAAACTACACACGGAATCTTTGTCAAAATGTCTTACAAACACACTCTTTTGGCTATAATGTAGAGTTTTGTTTTATTCTCTTAAAATTTTATCTTCTTGGTTAAATAAAACATAGGTGACTCTTTGTGATTGGTCGATCGCGATTGACTTTCCGTTTCACGGTAAAGGCAATGTTGATTATTGTGTCCTTTCGGACGACTCGTGCATGCTCACTTTTTTGGGCTCGTTCGGTATTCATAACTTGTTGATTACGCATCGGCGCGCGGTATACAATAATTATTATTAACTTCAGATTCGACAAGTGTCACAGCGCAATGAAACCAAAAATAAAATGTACGTGCTTGTAAGAATATTTTTCACTAAATAGATTTTTATAGTGCTAAAATTATTTGAATATGTAAAACCAATACTAAAAGTTATGTAAATTATGACTTTTTGAGAAAAAATGGATATTATGATCATATACGATTATATGTAAGTGATAATCAAATCGCGCAAAAGTTCGGATTTAATTTTATATTATCATACACAATTTTCTATATTTATATACGATCATATAAAATCAGATCGCGTCAAATTTCGAATTTGAGATTACACGATCACATGAAATCACATCTGACTTATATAAAATCTTATATGATCATATCAAGAAGCACGATATAGTGCCTTGCGCCAAGTTGACGCACAACGAAGTGGCGCACGAACTGCGCGAGCTTCTGTGCTTCTTATACGCGAAATTTAGGTAATATGAGAAAGATTGAGATTTTTGCGGATACTTTTTTCAGTAACGACTGAACCGAACACTTTTGTGTTTTTTTTGGGCTCAATTGTTTCAGAACAATAAATTAAAAAAAATATATTCTTGCGTTTTGGTTTGTTTGTGCTTCTGATTTCTTTTAAAGATATGCGACGATTAACGTTCGAAATGAGGTAAAGTTAAGAAAAAAAACAAATTTTTGTAGTAATATAATATTTTGTACCAGGTTTTATACCAAAACCTTTTTTGTATTTTGTTAAACAGGTGTTAGAGAGAAAAAAATTTTTTGTAGTACTAAATCAATTTTTACCTTATTTATTTAAATACAATATGTGTTGTGCGTTTACTTGGCGTTTGTTCTTACCTGTTTTTTGAAAAGGTAAGTTTCTAGAGATATCACACATTTTGTAATTTGTAGTATTATTTAACTTCTAAACCAAGTTTTATAGAAATAAAAGTTTTTGTTGTATTAAATCAATTTTCAATTTATTACGTTTTAATTTTTTATTTCATAAATTTAAAGTATTTGTAGTTATTTTGTGCCAAGTTTCAAAACAGATGATTAAAAAAGTTTATATCAGAGGTTTTGCCGGCGCGGAGAAAATGTTTTTATCCATTTTTTGAATTACTTTTTTATCATAAATTGAAAGTTTATAATTTGTAGATATAGCACTAACATCGAAAATACATCCAAAAATGAACGAGCGCGTAGTGTAAAGAAAATATCTTTTCTTTGCTGTGCGTGAACCGAGAATTTGTCAGGATTTTCTTCCTTCATCTGGATTAACTCGATCGATCACAGTTACTTTTATCGTTGCTGTTTAACACCGTGATTTTTGAATTATTAGTGACTTTTATATTTTTCTGTTCAGGCCATTTTTGAGATCTTCATCTTATGGCGTACACGCGTGCGCGTTCAATAGAAAGCTATACAGAAATGTGTAAAAATATGTAAAACTGTTCGAAATTAAACAATAACATGTTCATAATAAAATATTTGTAATTATAAATGTTTCTTCCAAGTTCTGAAGTCCTTTATTGACCTATCCGCCTGTAAAAAGACGTGAAAAAAAAGTTAGAATACGGAGCGTGTAAAATATCCGAACGGAATAAGGAACTTTTTGAGAGTTCTGTGTATTACACGACGCTGCACAGATTTGCATTGGCGTTTGGACGCTATTTACGAAGGTTTTCGGTATGTAGTGTATTGTGCAGTAACTTGAGTATTTCGCAGAAAATTGCGAAATACGAAGAGTGACGACATTTGTCGATTCTTCATTCGTCTAAACGCATTTGTTCGATCTGGTGAACGTCGCATTCATGTTCAGTCGAGAAAGAGACAGCGGCGTGATTCGGGTCTCAATAGTAGCTGTTTACACGTCGGCGCCTAAAATAAAAGATTTCCATGAAGTATTCGAAAATGTCGAAAGATCCAAGTTCGATTTCTTCCGACAATTTTTTAACATTGTTTTATGTCAGTCTCATGCATATAAATACGTGAATGCATTGATGAGAGAATAAGAAATACTTATTAAGTAGTAAACAAAGCAATATTGAGAAATACAAAAATATATTTACCACGAGCAGGATCATGCGATGAACGTCTGTTACATGAAATTGGAGCGGTAAAGAGAATCGGTATTACAAAAACGTTATAAATTGAATCTCTAGCATACGCAACGACTGGAAATTCCATGTTCGTGTTGATCGGCCTCAGAAGAAGATGGGACTGAAGCTTTGTCTGAAAGTACGCACAACAGGCAGCTTGTTAAATGAACGCACGTCAGCGAAGAATAAGGAAATGAAAAGAAACGCAAAAATGTATAACTACGCAAAGATTTAATATTATCCTATGTGACAAATTAACATGTACGTGACATAAAATTGTTATTGATAGGAGCGATATTGTAGACCAGTTTTTCCACCTATGAGAATATGTGTATCATGTGTTATAAGTTATAATGTTGCAATTTATATAAACAAAGATCACGTGGATTAACAACAACATAAAACGCAGATAATCGGGTTAATGGGGTCATCGTTAATAGAATTACATCTTATTCGAATAATCTTCTATTTCACGCTTCAAATTTGCAAGAATACAATCAAATGTACAATTTTTTAAATCCTGGCTGCGAGATAGATTCGCATGTGTACATGCATATATTGAACATTTAAATGTCTCACATGTACGACTTTCTATCGGTGTGAGTTACGGACTTGTACAGAGAGAAAAAAAATGTGTTTTGCTGCACACACACACACACACACGTTTCTAAAGTAATATTCATTACTTTACATAACGAGGTACAAGAAAAAAAAAGAAAAAATTGGAGAAGCTTTAATTTATGACTTGATACAATTATCACATATAGACGCAATAAAGATACACTTACTTTGTTTCTCTGTCGTAAGGTGAAAATGCCGTAGACGATGGATTTATACTCGAATTGGTGCACGCGAAAAAGAAGAGAGCCCTCTGAATGCGCTTGTCGATTTCTCGAGCTGACGATAGATCGTTCCAGTAAAAGATAAATCGAAAGTCATCATTATTTATTAAACACTCATTACGTAATAAGAAGTCCAGCAGACGATGATAGCGACGATAATAGTTATCGTCATTTTTATAATAATTAATTTTTTTCTTAAATATATTTATTATTTTTTTCTTTTTAAAAGTTTTCTTTTATTAATTAAACTTATTTTATTATTTAATATTAATACTTCTATATATATTGAACTAATAGGCAACACATCCATATAAATTAAAACAGTAGAAAAAGTAAAAGCAGAATTGGCAACTAAAAGACGTGACAAAGATAATAAAAAAAATCCAGTTAAAAGAATACAACACAGTTTAGAAAGATGAGGTTCTGGAAATGATGTAGTTACTCAGAAAATGGTTGATGATGGTATACTACGTTTTGTTATTGAAAATGTTCAGCTTCTGTCAATTATAGACATCTAGCATTTATCAATTTAGTTAGAATTTAAATGACTTCGTCTATTTGAATAATGAGCAGAAAAACTTTAAAAACAAAACTTGATCAAATATATCTTGAAATAAAAACAGCTCGTGAAAACAAATTGGCTCAAATTGAAATAGTTGCAACTACAGCGGATCTGTGGAACAATGCGAAAAGATTATTCAAACTTTTTTATTAACTGTTAATTTTTGTTTTTTATGTATTAAATATGTTTCTTATCCTTTAATACTTTGTTAATGTTAGAGAGGAATATAAATTTTTTTGTTTTTTAGAAGTTTTTTAGGAGTAACAGTCCATTGGATTAATCCCGAAAATTTAAGTAGAGAATTAGCTGCACTGGCTGCAGAATGAAAGAGAAACATACATATGATACTTTAGCTAAAGCAATTCATTCAGTATTTTTACAGTATCATATTCAAAATAAGATATGCTGCATGACAACCGATAACAGATCAAATTTTGTTAAGGCTTTTCGGTAATTTAAAGTTATATAAATGTATAACACACACACACTACAAGTTTTATAATACTTTATAAAGTTTTTTCTATATTGCAAATATATTTTTATATTAAAATATTTTAATTTCAAAGCAAAATTTATAAAGTGTTCAGAGTTTTTGAAAAAGATGAAAATGAAGATGAGGATTCTGAAGCCATGGAATTTCATAATCTAAATGATTTATTAATGACGGCTGACAAAGAAGATACAAATGCTGCAAAATTTATCATTTTTCCACCACATCATAGATGTGTTAGTCACACGTTGAATCTCATT